ACAAACGTGTGGTACGTGATGGGCAAGGGGGTGGCTGCCTTTCCAGCCGTGCCCTGTGTCCCTGTATGAAGGGCTCTCCACACCGGACCCCGGTCCTGTGAAGTCTACCAACTCTGTGATTGCCAAACATGTCAGTGCAATCTTGGTGCTTCAACAGGACAGTAATCACCCACTCTGGACTCCATTGGCTGCTAAATGAACAGTCATTGCTCCTCTCCCTTCTTCCTTAGTTATGGACCCCTAATATTGTTCAGAAGACAACAGGAGCAGTGAAGTGGGCCCTGCCCCAATCCCCAAGGGATGTTTAAAGTTTAGTATAAGAGCCAATGAGACAACCTCATTTCCTTTTGCCAGGTACTTGCTTCCTCAGCATCCCTTATAGCTTTGAGTATAAAATGCAAGAATAAAGACATAAATTGAGGTAAGAACTGGTAAGCAAGAAGAAACCAGGACTTGATGATTTGGGAAATTCTCAGCCTATCTAGATTGCAAAAGATGCTAAAATTAGGAGACTCACTGTTAGGAAAACATGCTTTAGAGAGAAAGCCTAGGGTGTGTTTGGACAAACTTTTGCTACTGCCTGGAAAGGATCAGAAGGCCAGAGTAATCCTGTTAAGAGTGCTCTTTAAGAGATTTAGCACATGACTCATGGATCCCTCCAGATATTTCAGCAGAAGCCAGGAACAGAGATGGGATTATCTAGGAAAGAGGACTCTCTTGTCCAGTGAAGTGTCCTGTGACATACACAGGAGACCCACAAAGTTCTTGAGGATGTTATATCAGCAAAAACTCTGCCGGCAAGGACTGAAAGGAACAAGAGAGGGGGAAATTAAAGAAAGCTCTAAAAGTTCTCTCAAAATATTAGGAAATATGCTAATATGCTTCTATGTTACTCAGCTACAAACATGTGCTACCCTTCAAGAAAAAGGAGTGGTGACTGTGAGGACGGAGGTACAGGTCCAGAGGGTAGAGCTAAGAGCCATGGAGGATTATTTCCAGGCCTTGAAACCTAATGGAGTTTGCTAGGCTGGATTTCAAAATTGCTTGGAACCAGTGACTCCCTTTTCTCTTTCCATTTTCTTCCTTTTTTTTTTTTCTTGCGTTATGCGGGCCTCTCACTGTTGTGGCCTCTCCCATTTGCGGAGCACAGGCTCCGGACGCGCAGGCTCAGTGGCCATGGCTCACGGGCCCAGCTGCTCCGCGGCATGTGGGATCTTCCCGAAACGGGGCACGAACCCGCGTCTCCTGCATCGGCAGGCGGACTCTCAAGCACTGCGCCACCAGGGAAGCCCCA